CCTTTCTCTTTTCCTCTCTTTATTTGTCTTCCCTGTGTCATTCCCCCTTTCCTCCAACACCTTCTTTCTCCCTCTTTTCTCGGCATTGACAGGTGATCGCCTGTAGAACTGTAACTGCTGGACCCTAGACGTAAAGGGGCGGCCGTGGCAGGGGCTTCGCCCCTGAGAGCCTCCCGGTTTGGTGTGAGAGCCCAGCTGTCCCCTTCTCCAGCATCTCGCGGCAGTCCCCTCCGAGCACCTGGTGAAGGAACCGGGGGGGAGGTGCCCCGACCCCAGCCCCGTGGGAGCCCACGCTTCCCGGAGGCCCCTAAAGCATGGCCTGTGCTGGCCCTTCTCTGATTCTGCTCCTCCCCCTGCAGCCTGGCCCGCCCGCGCCATGGGGAGGGACAACCTGACCTGGGTGGACGAGTTTGTCCTACTGGGGCTCTCCAGCGACAGGCGGACCCAGGCTGGGCTCTTTGTCCTGTTTGGGGCCGCCTATCTGCTGACCCTGCTGGGCAACGGTCTCCTCCTCGTCACCATCCAGCTGGACGCCCAGCTGCACCTGCCCATGTACTTCTTCCTCGGCCACCTCTCGGTGGTGGACATCTGCTACACCTCCAGCTGGGTCCCCCAGATGCTGGCGCACTTGGTCCTGGAGAAGAAAACCATCTCCTTTGCCCGATGTGGGGCCCAGCTCTTCTTCTCGCTGGCCTTTGGGGGGACCGAGTTCCTGCTGCTGGCCGCAATGGCTTATGACCGCTACCTGGCGGTCTGTGACCCCCTGCGCTACGTGGCAGCAATGGGCCCCAGGCTCTGTGTGGTGCTGGCTGCCATCCCTTGGCTTATGGGCATCACTAATTCTGCGGTGGTGACAGCGGTCACCATACACCTGCCCACCTGTGGGCACCACGTGCTGAACCATGTGGCCTGCGAGACGCTGGCACTCGTCAGATTGGCCTGTGTGGACATCACCCTCAACCAGGTGGTCATAGTGGCCTCCAGCATGGTGATGCTGCTGGGGCCCTGCTGCCTGGTGTCCCTGTCCTATGCCCACATCGTGGCTGCCATCCTGCGGATCCGCTCCACCGGGGGGCGCCGCAAAGCCTTCGGGACCTGCGCCTCCCACCTCACTGTGGTCTCCATGTCCTACGGGATGGCCCTGGTCACCTACATGCAGCCCCGCTCCACAGCCTCCGCCGAGCAGGACAAGCTGGTGGTGCTCTTCTATGCTGCGCTGACCCCCATGTTGAACCCGCTCATCTACAGCCTGCGGAACAAGGAGGTGCGGGCTGCCCTGAGCCGAGTTCTGCTGAGGGGCTCTGGATCGAAGCGTTAGGTGGGGCTCGGGCCTAAGAGTGTGCACCTGCATGTGTGCGCGTGTAAGGGAGCCGGTGGGCAGACCACAATCTACACTACTATCTCTGGAGGTCATAGAGAGGTGGAATTTTATCTCTGGAATTTGGTTTTGGTCCTGACTTAGTGTAAAAAATGTAAATTACAACAACTTAGAAATACATACACCCTCCAGAATAATGGAAAAATATATATATGAATTAAAAAGAATAGTTAGACCAGAAGTCAGAGAAGTACACAAATGTATGCCCAGAGAGTCAATTTCCTTGCTAAAATTTACCACTATATGTCTAAGCTTTTTGAAGTCAGTGAAAAGAGGGGAGAGAGGAAGCTGTAAGTTACAAAATGCACTGTGCCCTTGGATGAAACTGTCCCTAACCAGGAGTGAAAAGGTCGTCCACATGACTCACACATGGCGCAGCCCAGCTCAGCAGGGTGGGGGCCCAGAGCCAAAGTCACACTAAGGGTCTCCACAGCCCCGATGAGCAGGACTGGACCTCGTGGGAGTGGCACGGACATCATTCCGCATGTTTACCTCTGTGATTTGCTATGGTGGCAAATGGCTAGCCCAAAAGTCCAAAGTTCAGGACCTCCGACACCTATCTTTCTGCACAATCGGGTGTAAGGGTATCTTCTTGTGAAAGCTGAGGGATGTATAAAGAGCCCATGCTTGACTAGAAATCATGGCACACACCCTCAGAGGTGAGCCGAGCTCTGCAGGAAAGAACCGCAGTTCCCCAGTGGTGAAAATTTTGCTCTACTCCGGTAACATACCAATTAATGATTGAGCTCTACACATCCTAAAACGGAAAGTGAAGCAGCAGCGATCATTTTATCCAGAGAAATGTTCTTAAAACAGCTTTTAAAATTCAAAATAAAGCATCCCTTAGGTAAATATTACTCTGATATAGTCAGGACAGTAATCTATTCATACCTTCTAATCATAATAACTAAAACATATATTTTGTATATAAAATCATACTAATATTCTATTCTCCACAGCCAAAGTGCACACATCTAGTTTATCCAAGGAAGACTTCATTAAGTTACATGTTAGAGAAAGGGGGGAGGAGTCCAAAATACTTTCCTACTTACCCCACTGCTTGAGTTTTAGAGTTTAGATTATTTATTTGGGTCCTTTTTAAAAAGAAATTTGATGTATTTAAAGGACATTTACTAATCAGGAGGAAACAACTGTTTGGTCCCTCCAGAGACCCTTCTGAGTGGAGTCATCCTTGAGGTGGTCGCAGAGTGGACTCCACAAACATCTACGAGAAATTTCCACACTGAGCTTCTAGGCGAGAGAATGAATTTCAAAGAAACCACTCCTTGATGTGCATCCATTCAGTCAGCCCACAACTCTATGTGCCAATCTCTGTTATTATGTGTAGAATAAAAAAGGGAAACACCCTGGCCACCCTTCAAGCAGTTCATTAGAAATCAGAAAGAGGAAGTGAAAGCAAGCTGGGCCTAGTGGAGGGTATTTCCAGCTCTACCTCTGGCTGCTGGGAAATCTGAGAGCTGGTCATGGGCTCCATGCCCTCACTCAGCTATGAAGTGGGTGCTTCCCTTTTGCAGATGAAATGGAAAGAGGTCAGCGCACTGATGAGCTGGACCTCCACCCACCGACTTGTCCAAACCACGCTCCAGCCTATTGCCCTGTGTTACTTTGCGGAAGTTCAAAGTCTCTACCTCCCCTCCACACACACCCACCCAGGGGCAACATCCTAAACACTGCACCTTTCCCCATAAATCACACCTGCCCTCCGGTCCCTCTGGGATGCTGCCCCCTGGCCACTGTGAGCCCCTCCTGTGCTCTGCCGGGTAGCAGCGCACGGAGCAGGACGAACACGGGATTGTGGTCCTTGGGTCCCGGATCCAGCTCCTGCTCTGCTCCCAACAGGCAGAATGACCTCGAGCAAATTGCTTCTGCTGTCTGAGCCTCAGTTTTCTCTTTTGTAAAACGATGAGGTGGAAATGACCCTAAAAGTTCCTCCAGGCTTTCATTCTTTTGTGACTCCCCTTTTGCATTTTATTTTCTTCAATGGTGAGAATCTCAGTTGATTTTCTCAGTAATCAGGGCCACATCTGGGGACTAAAGCTTGGTTACTTACTATGCTGACCAAAAAACAAAACAAGAAAAGGGCTCTGTGGCAAGCCAGGAGTTCCCATCCGAGGTGCAGGGCTCAGGAACCAAAACCAGATTCTATTCTTAGCACTTCCTACAGTGACACCTTCTGGCCATAGACGCAACGGGAACCAGATGGGGGTTGGTCCCAACCATCCAGGAAAGACAGAGGAAAGCATCCAGCTGCTCTGTCTTCTTCATCCCATCCAACGACAGGCCCTATCACCACACCCTGTTAGAAAGACTTGGGTTGAACTGTTTTCGTTTCTATTTCATTGGATTCCATAGCCCAGCTCTCATATCCTCAGTACAAATCCTTTTCATGAGAGAATGCTCTGAAACTCAGGAAGGGCCTTCTCACACATCACCTCACGGGGTGCTCACTAGTCCTTCCCTGGGTCTAAGATGTTCTAAAATGTTGTTCGGGGACCAGACCTCAGAAAACTCAGACTAAGGCACGATATCCAGGATGACATCTTCACTGATTCATCGTGGGATTTGAGGCAAGTCATCCACACTCTCTTGGCTTCAACGTGTTCAAACAATAAGAAGTGTAGCCCGAAAGATCTTTCCTCCTCGAAAGCCCTTCTAGGTTTATCTTAAAACAAATTCCTCTCTCAAAACTAAATGGTGATGAAAGAATTAAGGTTTTTTTTCAAATCCTCTCTCAAAGCCCACATACTGAATCTTCAGAAGGTTTGAGGTTCCCTCTACAGCGATGGTTCTCAAACTCAGCTTCACATTTTAATTACCTGGGAAACATGAACAGTTACTATCACACTAATGTCTGGGTTCCGCCCATCTGAGATTCTAAGTTAATTACTCCGGACTGTGGTCTGGACTTCTGGAGTTTTCGGTGTCCCTAATGTGACTCTAATGTGTAGCCAATGTGGAAAGCAGTGCTCTGGAATCCACCAGGGATCCTGTGGGATTTTCATAGCAGAAGCCCTTTATCTGGAGTGTTTTCCTTCCCTCTCGAGCTCCCCCTAACGGGCATTCAAATGGGCTTTCCTGGCAGCTGGACTCTTGTCCCTGTCCCTGTGGTCTTTCCTTATTACCCTACCAGACACTAGCTGTTTCTTCTCCCACCTTACTGCAAAGGCACTCGAGGCACATCCTAAATGGGGCTAGAGGGGCTTGTTACTAATAAACAGAGAAATGAAGATTATAAAACTGCTCAATGCGTTCATATTAACAGTCACAATGGCATCTTTACCCTTGGATAGAGGCTAAAGACCAGGAAAGTAAACAGGGAGGTGTTCCAAGGACAAACACATCTTCGCTGTAACAGAAGGTTATACACAACAAGGCTCGCAGGGTTTCAGAGGCACTCCCTCGCTGATGTCATCTGTGGGCACCGCAGTCTCCAAATGCTGCCACGGCAAGAAAGTGATGTTGCATTCAGCTTCTATTAATCACTCGCTTTAACACTCAAATAAATGCCAGCGTTTCACCAAGGAAATAGCATCATCGCACGAAGTGGGGACGTAATTACAGCCGGTATCGTGTTCTCCGGTGAGGCCTTGATCTTATCAGCCTAGGACGGAGCTTGCTCCATCAGTGGGCTGAGAACCAAATGAGAAGGGAATTCCAGGGCCACATCCTGGGATCGGAGCAATCCTCAGGACCTTCAGCCTCTCTAGTCATGCTCCCAACAAAGATGTTTGATTGTGAAACATTTGTCAGGAATCTTCGTATAAAAAGAAAAGTCATTAAAAATCCCCGACTTCGAGAAGCTCAGAGTCTAACAGAGAAAACATGAGTCCGTGTGTTCCTCCTTAAACTCCTTTGTTCGGCCCCAGCCTGTGAACTCTGGTTCTGATTCTGGCCTCTCTACCCACCGCCTCCCCCTGCAGCCTGGCCCACCTGTTCTAGAGGAGGGACAACCTGACTCAGGTGGGTGAGTTTGTCCTACTGGGGCTGTCCAGGGACAGGCGGACCCAGGGTGGCTCTTGGTCCTGTTTGGGGCCGCCTATCAGCTGGCCCAGGGGTCCCCCAGGTGCTGGTGCACTTTCTCCCAGAGAAGAAGGCTATCTCCTTTGCGCGATGTGGGGCCCAGCTCCTCCTGTTAGTCCTGGGGGGAGGC